ATAGATTGAACTTTCAGGAAGGATGGATAGATGGATGTTTTTGTAAGAATTTATGGAAAGAAGAGGTTGTGTTGGAGATCAAGACAGCTCTAAGATGGCTGTATTAGTTAAGGTAGCGTCGTTAGAATATGACGGAACCGCACTAAATTTGGTAGGTTGAGCTTTTGAATCTTTCTATTGGTTTCTTCCGCTTAAGCACAGCTCAGTAAACGTAGTGAGTTGGGTGAAGGCGACTGACTACTGGTTGGGGTAAAGGTAAAATAAAATGGGTGAATAATCGATAACGTAGGAGCGTATCCAGGCAACGAGAAGGCCACGCATATAAATTCAATGCCTGGTACGGCCATAGTATGATCAATAATAAGTCAGCCTCGCATGGCAAAGAATGTCATAGAATCCCTTGTATGTATTGGTTGATTGATTGATTGATTGATTGATATAAAATTGATTCTAAATGTATTATTATTGTATTCATATGGCTTTGCCTCTTACTCGTACGTTTATTATTATTGGAACATTGACAATATTGATAACTACTAGGTAGGTACTAGGTACACATTTCATTTCATTCATTTCGTTCATTTTTACCTTCAATATCTACCTATCTTTACCTATAACCCGACAACTACAAACAACTCTATCAGGACAGCTAGCTATGAAGCTCAAAACACATCCCCGAACCACCCAGATCCGACAACACCTATGGACCCGAGTCACGAAAGGCCACTCACTCACTCACTCACTCACTCACTCACTCACTCAACATCACTCACTCAACATCACTCACTCAACATCACTCACTCAACATCACTCACTCAACATCAGTATTCCCCAACATGTCAAACACACATCCATAGGTTCTGAACCCTAACATCCGACTGTGAAACTTTTGGGGTTCCTTGGTCTTCCCATCTATTCCATTCGAGTTCGTCGGCACCACCTGTAGGACGAACAACAAGCCTGCGATGCCGATCCGACGGTACACAAGAGAGAAAGGCAAACTTCCCTCCCAGTACTACATATATACATATATACATCTAAGACAAATATATGATGCCACCCACGCCTCTTGTATAACCCCAAAGGCGAGAAAGGTCTATTTACGGTTCATGTGTTCTGGAAAGTTCTAGAACACCTATTGATGGTAAATATGGTCTGCATGATCTGACGGGATGTCTACACTTGGTGATTTCAGAATAACCATGCGTTGGTTGGTGATGTTCTCAAGGGATTGAGGGATTGAGGAAGTAAGTGCAGGTGGTTAGATCAACACTTTTTCTTCCTTGCAAAAGTGAATAGGATTTTCTTCACGATCAATTTTATAAGCATTTCACATTGAAGAGTATCAATTATTCCACTACCGTGGCGAACGAGGCCCTACAAATTCCATCCAGTCTCATTCTATAATTGGAGGATTAACTGTCGTAAAAGATGAGGTGAAGAAAGGACAGAGTGGAGCACTCGACGTACGTACATGTAGTTTGCTTGCTTCCTCTATGATCCGCGCGCTTATTTTAGAGGATGATGGGAGAGGCAAACAATTCGGTACAGCCAATCTACTAGGCACTCGTAGTATCGATGAGGCTATGACACTGTGCAAGAGGATTGCGTGGACAAATCTTTATTTGGGGGGGGAAGGATTAAGTTTATGGTTGAAAAGGGGTTAATGGGACAACTCTTGCTTTAACAGAAATCAGCATCTATGTAGAAATATATACCGTACCTATTTCATCTGTCAAACATATCACACCCCCAAATTTGAAAACCGCATATTAGAAAGAGAAGAAAAATGATCTTATTCATGGAATCCTCTGAGTATAATATAGCAGCGCCCTAGAACTCCCCGAACGACTCTCCACGAGCTCGAGCCGGAGATTCTATAAAAAAACACCAATGCAAAGTTCAAGAAGGAACCAAAACCAGTCTATCCCGAAAATTCGTTATTTGTTACACGCGCTCCTCATTCCCATCTATCCCGACCAGCCCGCCCATTTTCTTTTTTTAACCCCTCTCTCTAACCATCTATTCTCTAGAAACATCACGACCGAAAGTCTTAGACTTGAGCCAATCGAGAACCACCAAAACACGGTTGCGCGCTAGAATTCATGTTAGTCAAAGTGAATGAGAGACAATGGATTGGTAAAACTCACTGCTGAAACACATGCTCAAGTATGCACTTCTCCAGAACAAATATGTCAAATTACCACCGGTAGCAAAGTTTCCATTTAACCAGCTAACATCTGCAACGGCTCTTTCACTACCAATGTATGCCAAGGAACCTTGATGTGTGTAGTGGAACGGCTTGATATCCTTAATTCTTCTCAATTGCTTCTCATGTGCTTCAATATCCTTGGCAACTTGGGCGGCGTTTCCAGGACCAAGGTTCAAGGATGAACTCAACTCTTGGATTTCATGTTCGATGGTATCGGTCTTTGCCATGGTGTTAAAGAGGCGGGCTAAGAAAGCTCCTTCTTGCGATGCTACCTGAGCTGTTGGTGCATATCCTGCAACTGCACAATCACCAGTGGCCCAGATATCCTTGGTTCCTTGAACAACGAGATATTCGTTCACGGCGAGACCTCTCCTTGAGTCTTTTTGGGCGGGGATTTGTGCCATGAGGTCCTTGACAACAGGGCGGACGGCGTTACCGGTGGCCCAAACAAGGAGACCGTAAGGCATGACCTCAGTGAACTTCTTTCCATCTGGTCCAGTGGCCTCGGCTTCGACGGTCTTATCAGTGACCTTCTTAACGGCCGTCTTAGTCTTGATAGTAATCTTCTCTTCCTTAAAAGTTGACTCGGTGTATTCGATCAATTGCTTGGAGAACATAGGAAGAACGTTTGGAAGAGCTTCGATGAGAGTAACCTTGAACTTGTCGCTAATTTCTGGAACCCACTTCTTAATATCTTGATCGAAGAAATCTTGAAGCTCACCAGCGAATTCAACACCAGTAGGTCCACCGCCAACGACAACCATGTGCAAAAGACGTTCAACTTCCTCTGGAGATTGGTCCTTGAAAGTGGCAGTCTCTACACAATCCATAATCTTCTTTCTGATTGCTTGTGCGTCACCGATCTCCTTCAAGAAGCAAGAATGCTCTTTGACACCAGGAATTCCAAAAGTTGCGTTTTCTGCACCAACACTGACGACCAACATATCGTATGAGACCTCGGTTGTGTGGGAAGCTCCTTTGACATCAGAGTTGTCGTTGATGGAGATAGTCTTCTTCTCGGGGTCAATTTTAGTGGCTTCGGCTTCGTAGAATTTGACAGCAGCTTTCTTATGTCTGGTTATGCTTCTGATAGGCTCCATGATAGATCTGTGCTCGACGGTACCGGTTGTGCATGATGGCAAAAGAGGGGTGAACAGGAAGTAGTTTCGTGGGGAGATAACAATAACATTGTAGTTTTCCGTGTCGAGTTTCTTCAAAAGAGAAACAGCACCCCATCCAGTACCTAGCCAATTGATGTCAGCTATCCATATGGAAAGTGGAGACACGTATTGTGCGTACCAAGAATGACCAAGTTTTTCTTGGTTGGATCTGGCTGGAATTGCTCCTCTGGATGTCGAAGTTCCCAAACTTCATATCCAAGATAAGCGGCCCCTCCGATCAAAGACAAGTATGTGAGACGCCAACTATATCTCAAGAATCTGAATCGCTTTGGCTTCTTGACAGTAACAGGAGCGACATCTGCGTAAGTACGTTGAGCAATTTGGGAGATTGCAGTCTTGTTAACATTGACTCTGGCATTGGGTCGCGCACTTGAGAGAAGGACCCGATTTGATGTCGCATATGATCGTTGGGCGATAGTTCGAAGACCAACAGCTGAAGTCGGCAACCTCATCATTCTTGTCGCTAACGCCATACTCCTAAAACTCCTGAAATGGAGGAGGTGAGGATTGTAGGGGAATGCGGAGAGTAATGGAGAAGTGCAGTGGGAGTCAGAAATATCAGATTATCAAATTGAAAGGGAATTTTTATTTTGATAAAAGCTAGGATTCGGATTCTGAGCTAAAATTTACAGGGATAAAATTACGCACCGGAGCCGATAGAAAGATAAGCTCAACTTTTTACCAACGCTTCATCAATAATTGGAATTGACATGCGCCCAAATAGAAACCTCGGAATCAAATGCAAATTGACCAAGAGAAATTCCTCTGGAATAAATCGCTCACTCATACCTGGGTATACTTATATCGCAGCGTCTTTGATCTAATGCCTGTTGATCAATTGATCTTCTTCCTCGATCTCAATTATAAGCATGTGTTCCATCCAGGACAGCATGGCAGGAAACGAGGTCAAACAGTCATGAATTTGTCTACATATTACCAAAGGCATGAGGGCTCAGGGCACACCTACCTACAGAGTACGCATGGTATATTGAAATTGTGCAATCGTGGGTCTGCTTAGGTGGTACTTCGGTGGCACTGTGATGGAGACCACAGACTATACTTTTCTTCACCACTGCTATTCGAGGAATGTCAATTCGGTTTGTAAGATTTGGTATGTGGAGTCCGCCACCAAAATCAGACTCTTCAACGGGAGTCAAGTTCAACGCCCTATCTTTACTATGGTTCATTATACCTCGTACCTACGAGTAGCACTTGGCCAGATTCAAAAGATGCCCTGAAGTAGCAATTCGGATAAAATTATCCTTTACACAGGTTAGAGTATGTATTGTTCCTACCCAGTACTATCTCCTACGTACTCGTATGTACTGAACATTGTACCAGTCATTCTCGGTTTGTTCGGAGATTTTGGAGAGTTTACCGGATTTCCGAACCACCGAAAGTGACAATGATGATTGGACAAACCATGCCATGCCGAGTCTTGGGAAACTGGCGTTCTCCAATTCATTAACACAGAAAGGTTCATCTAATCCGTGCTTGTGAGGCGAGAACGGTCATCTCCTCTGGGTGAATCAAATCGTCATGATTTAACGGTTTTAGCGAAGAAGAACGACCGTCTAGCATCTACCAATACCTATAGAGGCACATTCTCATACATCCTTTTTAGATCCTTGCGAGTCTGCTTGTGGTTCTCTAACCATACAATAGATATTGCAAGTATCGCCTTCGTCGTCGCAAACCATCTTCTTTTCAAAATGGAATCCGAAGGTTTCGTATATCTTCATGTTGGGAACATCTCGACTAGATTCAAGATAGCATCTTTTTCCTTCTGCGTCAGCAATGCTAGTTACTTCCTTTGCTAGCGCTTTTCCGATTCCTCTTCCTTGAGCGTCAGGATGAACGACCATTATATTTAGAAAGTAGTATCCTCGGGGATCGGTCCAAATATTGGATTGGGCTTCTGCTTGCCTGTCCTTCCAGATGTAATAACGCTGTGGCGAATCTACGTCAGTATTCTTTTCAGGACTACTAATTCTCAACCTTCGAGATCTCACCCTGCACCTAATGATACCATTGGGTCATCTCATGAATCATTAAAAGGGTATGTGACAAAGATAGAGTACTTCACTGGAAATGAAGGGGAAACATTCAAAAGCGTCAGAAGTAGGGCTAGCTTAGCCATTGCTTATATGACTTAGCTTCGCTACTTGTAGGACTTGGCAACGTTTGTCTAGAGTCTCATCTTCGGAACAAAAGAATCCGTCAAACAAAATTCTAGTAGAAAGCTTGAAATTCACACCGACAAAAGAAACGGAGATAGCGGCAACACAGTGAGACAAGTAGCACTCATGACTTTGAGGCACCTGCGCCAAAGGAAACGAGACAGAATATACGGTACGTTATAGCTTGCTTACCTTCACGTTTAGGCCACCTCGACCGTACCAAATATTCATACCAACTTGTTGAGCCCACATTGCCCAACTATCAATCCATTCTGCCCACGTCTCCGGCGATCCAGCAGATTTGGGTGGCAACCACATTGCAACGCCTAAAACTCTATGACTTTGAGAGTCTTTAGCAACATAGAACAAGCCGTTTCGAATTCCCCATCGACATCGAATGCCAAGAGAAACCGAGTTTCTGACTAGGTTCAGCTGTCAAAAATTCCGTGTCAGTGACGAACAAACGAGATAGTATCACGAAACACGCCTTCGTGTTGATTTCAGCTATAGGCGAATCGGAACCAATACTTGCTACGACGCTTGAAAATTCGAAGAAAAACTCTACCTTTGATCGATAATTGTAAATCCACAGGTTGTAAGGATCTTCTTTGAATGCTTCCTGAATGGTATTCACAGCTCCAGGTATGTCATCTTCCGTCAGTCGAGATATGGTGAAGTCCATTGTAAGAGATCGAATTGAGATCCAAGGAAGAAATGGAAAAGTACGACGGTGAATGATGTGGGTTAAGAATTTTATAGCAGTACTAGGTACCTATTTACATGTATGTCCCAATTCTGGATATTGTGCTAGAACAATGATGGTTATCAGGGAGAAAGCTGGACACATGGATTGGTGTTCGTTATCTGTAAATGGCTACAGCCGCTTTAAAGACATGTTTTTCCCATCCTTGGCCATTCTTGCCATTGCCAGCCGTGTCGGAGCCGAAATCTACTTCTGCTGAAGCCACGATACTTCCAGTGGGTGGCTGTGAAGATGGGTCTTCAATAGAGTTCGGGTTGTGAAGAATACCTACCCAGGCAATGCATTGAGATGTAAATTGCTTTATATTTGAAGATTTTTTCGTGTTTTGAATCCCATCCTAGACACCCTTCTCGTATACCTAGATGTCCATACGAGAGTACGAGAGGAGTAGGTATTCTCGAGGGCCGAGGCATTGCCACATGCACCTTCATAATTCGATGATAATGACAACAACCTTAATATAATAATCAATTATGAAATCAGCTTACGCTTCCCCGGTCCTTTAATTCATAATTCTCACCCTCTTGGAAGTTGGAACTTCTCAGCCCCCTCCCCTCACCCATAGCTCAAATGTTAGATAACTATCGTACAGCAAACCGCAATCTAAGCTTATCCTCGGAAGATTACCCCTCTTTAGGTTTAGCGTTGTGAATCATCTGTGTGTACGCAGGACGGAGTAAAGGTAACCTTGGAACCTTATTAAGGTATCAAAAATAGGCCATGCCATGATGCTATGCCATGTTCATTCAGCCTTGCGAAATCTTTGGAACCTCCGTTTCTCTTAATTCTCTCCAACTCACGAACCTCTCTAAGTTGCAACAACAGAATTTATGCTCTCACTACTGTGTATACTCACTTTTTCAATGGCTTGAAGCTATCTTTCAATGATTCAGAAGAATCCTAGAACGAACTTTGCTGTATTTACCCTTTTTTTTTCTCTTCCGCAGATATCAAGTGAGTCGAGCGGGTCCATGATGAAACCAGGGGACAGTGCGCGAAACACTCTCTCCGTCCCAGATATCATCAAGTTTTCCCATGCTATGTCAGTCCACCGGTCAATTTCTGTAGCATACTGTTGCGGACTTTCTGGTCGTATGGCAATGATCTGCAGCATTCTTCGTACTTCTTAACAGGGGCATCGCTCAACCTAGAGTCTCATGTCAAACGCAGTAATGCTTGAGATGCTGGGCCCTAACCTCAATCTAGTCTGGACCACAGTGGAGGAGCACAATATTGCGAGTGTAGTGTAGCCTCGAAATGCCTTTTTACCTTGTGCTTGACGCATACACCACTCCTTTACTGTGGCCTTGCATTATGTCTATTATGTACACTTCTCGGTTGGTCCCCAGCTTCAAATTCAATACATGACCATTCCGAGAGTAGCATAGAACGTCCACCTCCTTCAATTGTCTGTCCAGTGCCAAACCAGCATGTCGCGAATCTCTTCTCCACTCTGTTAGCTAGTCTCAAATCTTTCGGAGGTCCAAGATTCTCGACTTGGTTACCTCTTGGGTGCTTTCACTTGTCAACCGTTTGTTCTCTCACTCACGATCTATACACGGCTGGATCGTGACGTTCTCTCTTTGATCAATATTCTCAATCAGATCTGGCATCTAATTCTCACACTCACTCTGTTTCTACAACGACGACGACGACGACAACGACAACGAATAACACTCATCAGTTCATGTCCGTATCCAACTAGCTTCTGTCGGTCGGCGATACGGGGCAGCGGCGACTCGGCGGAGGAATGAATACGACAATGGCACCAATGAGAGATCAACCAGAAGAGTATATGAACCGACTGGTTCAAAGGAATATTATGTTAGACGATCTTCAATTAGCAAAAAGGGATAGGAGAGGCAATGATAATGGGAATGGGAATGGGAGAAACAGCGAGAGGGATGATGATCATAGCGACGAGCGCAGCAACGATCGTCCAGATAAACAGGTCGATGGCTCACAAATGCCTACACCCGTGGTCACAAGGACTGCGTGGACCCAAATAACAAATACTGCCTGGACTACACAAACTGCCACTACCTGGACCACGCAAACTGCGATCACTACTTCATCAAGTGTGATGACTGTCGTTGTTGTTGCTACACCAAGCTCTACATCGACGTCGGCATCTTCAACATCGACTTCAGTGAGTTGGGACAGAAACTCTGTGTGAGTGGGTGTACTGACTATAGACAGATATCCATTACGTCTGCCACATCTTCATTGCCAACAGGGGCTGTCGCATTCAGCATACCAAGCCCAGAGCAACCTGGAAGGAAAGGGTTATGTACCCTTTCCAATGGAGCTCCATGTGAAAGTGCCACGGCTACCACATCTACTGTCACTGCCTATGAGGCCATCAGTGCAAGCTCTGCGCCGACTGCTCAAGCAGATGAAGATGGGTCATCTCCTTCCGACATACCACCTCAATTTCGCCACGGAAATGATGGCGATCTTAGTCCTTTGGCAGAGAAGCTTCTAATAAGTGCTGGGTCAATAGGTTTGTGTTTCAAGATGGCGTGATAACTAACTGTTACTGACCTTAACCAATAGGTATATTCGTCATCTTTGGCGCTATCATATATCTCGTAATCAGAATGAAGAAGCTAAATCGATTAGCAAGAGGAGAGATATCAGAAGAAGAAGCTCGTTGGTATGGATGGAGAAGAAACAGAGGTGACCCGGGTCGTCCTCCCAGTTATGCTAGCGGCAAAGTTTCACAAAATGGATATCCTATTGATGAAAAATTCGCTGAAAGGGAAATGGGTGGTTTCTATAACTCTGACAACAAATCGTCACTCGAACGCCCAGGATCGGCAACTGTAAACTTGCGGGAACTACGTACAGATCTCCAAAGACAAAATTCAACCAGGAGCAGTCATTCAGGATCTGGTATGTCTGCTAGTCCAGTTGCCGGCTCAGGTCAATCATACGGACCTCCAAGCAATATGGATTACTATTATTCTCAAACAGGAACTCTAAGATCTCAACAGTCAGCACTGTCAGGACAATCTTCAAATGCCTTTGATCCTTCACAAAGGGAGGTCAATCATATGAGTTACTTGTCTTCAATATCGTCAGGATTTGGTGACTCGCTTGTCATGCCTGATGATAGTGCACCTCCTCAAATTCCAGTCTCAAGATTTTCTTGGACAACAGCGTCTCAAGGTGCGCCACAGAATAGAGACACTATATACACGACAACTTCAGAGGAAACGGCGCCACGATTTCGCACTGTCAATTCCTGGGTAGCTCAACAAACAGGACGGGTAGAAAGGAAACAACAAAGTGACATGGAAATCCCAGCAATGCCAGAAATTCCTATTTCGTATACCCATCGGTCACAGGTTCCCGAACCTTTGTTTACCGAGGGCCATCAACGCAATATGAGTGAGAACCCAGCTTTTAGACATCACCCCGGTGACGAAATCGAGTTGGGGAGAGGCTCACGTGTTCCGAGTTCAATTCTGGATAGAAAGATGGGAATTTAATTAAAACAACAACAGAATAACTCAAACAGCGAGTGTACTATACGAAAGACGAATTTCTATCAATTGTGTGTGTGTATATATGCCTAATTTCCTATACGGTCGTTCCAGCCTGGTGCTTGATTCGATGAGATTTGCATAGCGTGGAGCGGGGAGCATTTTTTACGTTTTTGAGCATTTGGTGGCTGATTGGTTGGGTGCATGATTTATTGATATTTTTCTGCTTCTTGGGGAAATGGGGATGAGAGATTGACAAATATAACATATTGTAATGTCATGACGAGAACAGAGCGAGAAATAAGACGAGCGATAAAGGAGGCGAGGGGGGTGGAATGAAATGAAAATCGATGAGAAAGCACATTTGGGCTGGAGAAGAAAGGTTCCGCTCAGTGCACTGTCGAAATTTTATGAGGCCTGGCATTGCTTTTAGGCAACTAACGCATGAATGTATGACACGCGGTGAGCCGACGAGTTGAGATGGGGTGAGAATGTGACAAGGCGAGCTTTACAGGAGAAGGGTGGTGAAGAGACGATGCAGGGACGTCGTGGAGAAAGCGTGAGAGGACGCGGAGGCGTGGTGATGAAGATGAGAGATTGTTTTCTGTCTGTAGCTTTGTAGTATATAAGTGCAGTGATATAGTTTTCAAATACATTAGAAAAGTTTTAAATCAACGACGTAGATTCATGCTCTGTGTTGACGCTTGTTTGAGGGCTTTTAAGGCTATTTTTGATCTTGATTGATGATGAGAAAAACTTCTCGAAGTTGGGATATGATGGCTTATAAGATTCGCTAGCATAAGCACTTCATAAGCCATTCTATCAGCGTAAACTGACTTGATCTCCTCAAATCAGCATCATTTTCGTCGGTTAGAAATCGAACGATATCATTCATTTATCCATTCATCCATTCATCCATCCATCCATCCATCCGTCTATTCTCTCATCTATTTATTCACTTACCCATCCCACTACAATCTCCCAATCTCCCAATCTCCCATCCCAAATCCATCTATTCCCACTCCTCCACCTCCTTTAAAACTTTCGATTCCCCCAAGTCTCCCGGTCCTCACACATCCCATCCCGATACTTCCAGCACTCCCTACCTACTTAGCAAGCAAGCAAGTAAGTAAATCTGTGCATCACATTCCTCACATTCCCAAGGAAGTATAATTTGCGTCTTACCCATGGATGGATATACGAGGTAGAGTACGACGTATCGTAGATGAGGAATAGTTGATATGATTGCAGGTGGACCTCGCAAGAACCAGATCAGATGAAATCGAAACACCAAGCCACCGCACTGGTGAAATTGGTCGGTCTTCCGATGGGGTGCGGATGTGGATGTGGAATGTGTGGGGTGGGGTGGGGTTTCTGGTTTATTGGGTTTGTTGGTGTGGTGAGTGGTGCGTGGAGGATTGAGAGGATGGG